CCTCTACAAGAAAGATTCTATGTATTTTTCTTCTAACTTAAGTATTTAACGAGTTAAGTATGATTATTTGGCATTTTATTGGCATTGACGAAATTCGACCAACCCACCGTCGAAACATCGAACTTTTGACAAAAAAATTCGTTTTTCCTCAATAACTTCTAAACCCTTGGAGATATGGAAAAAATGCATAGGATCTTTCTTATAGAGGACGACGAGATCTACAATTTCTGTATAAAAAGTTTTCGCTAGCATTAATAGTTTACGAGTTATTTGCAAAAAACGAAAAAACAGTTTTTTGCATATTACTAGTTAACTATCGAAGCTAGCGAAAACTTTTTATACAGAAATTGTAGATCTCGTTGCCCTCTACAAAAAAGGTCATGTACAATTTTTTCGTATGTCCAACGGTTTAAAAGTTATTAGCCAAAAACGAAAATTTCGCAAAATCTGAAGGGGTACCCCTTGGAAAAATCTCGGAAAACTCGAAAATTTTTTTTTGTTGTTTATTATTAGCAATGTTCTTCCGACGTCTGATTTCTTTTTAAAAAATGCGTTTCTAAAGTGCATAAACTTTTGGGATTGACTGTATAGCCAATACATCCTTAAATCTGATACAATTGAATTTGAATGTTTTCAATACAAGCACACGTGAAAAATTGACTGATCTCGAAGAAAATTTGGATACATTAAGAGCGAGTCCCGAAGCAGAATCTTCTTCAAGAAGTAATAAAGAGGTCCGTAAAAGATTAAATTTTGTGAACATTGATGTATCAGATACTAAGCCTGTAGAAAATAATTTGGATGAACGTCATTTTGGAAACTTAGTTTTAACAGAGGATATAGTAAATAATTTTGATAAGGAGAAGGAGAAAATCAATTACGAACATAATTTACCCGGTACATCGAAAGATAAAGATGACTTTTTGTACATAGACAATGTCTCTGATAAGACATCATTAATGAATGAAGAAATCATAGATGAGGACGAAGAAGACGTTTGTAATATGACGTACACGCAGTATTTGAATAAAATATTACCATCTGAACCGTGTACAAGTGCTACACCGTTAGGAAGTATACGCGATTCTACAAAAAATGAATCAGTTACTATTACCACTAAATTTAATCCACCGAGCAGACAAAGGATTCTAAGTACCATGAAGATGTACAACATTTTAGAATCAAAATTTAACGCACCGTTCTTCAGTAATAAAATTGATTCTATTAAACAAAAGGAGGGTTTAAATAAAAATAATATAGATGAGATACCCTCGTTCAAGTGCAGTTTAGACAAAGTTACGAGTATCAAACTTTGGCGCCGTGTAAAAATTAATGAATTCTATCCTTCTGGTTCAAGTATCAAATCTTGTGATATAAAGAGGGTTTTAGCTGGATACAGTTCCTTAGTAATTCATCCTCTCATCCAACCACCAGCAGTGAAGAGTGTTAAAACTTGGGTGCAAGCAAAGAAATATTTATCAAAGAAAAACAATGAAGCTACAGCAGTAAAAGGCAAGATTGATGTAAACCACAAAATTGAGGATAATATATTTAATGAAACGTCTAAGGATGTTGAAAATACGAAGAATCATTCACAAAGCTCTAATTCAGAGCATTCATCTAATAAAAGTATTACTTCTTCTTTACAAAAAATGCTTGAGAATCCACTACTGTATAAGAATGCTGAGACGCAACAACATTTAGGGATCTCTTATGGGCAAATTGAATTTAGTTTAAGTGAACACAGTGGCAACGTCGAAAATGAAAATCTTCAAAATGCCAGAGGCTTAACTGTGGTAATTAGTACTAATTTAAGATTTTATGTTAACTACGATTGATATTCTACATTTCTCTATTTAAAATATTGCAGCATCAATTTCTAACGATACTATCAGTAGAAATACATGTTATCACGCGCGATAAGCTTCTTCCTGATCCGGAACACGATCCAATTGCAGCGATATTTTATGCCGTACATAATGATGTCCCGTCGTCTTCAAAAGATGAACAGATAGAACATGGTATGCAGAAAAGTCATTGTTTTAAATTTTGAATAAACGTAATTGAATCATTCTTTCAGGTATCGTCATAAATTCATGCGCAAAAAGTACAAAAATTAAAAATATATATTCAACTAGTACAATGTGTCCAATGTCGTATGTGTCGAGTGAAGAAGATTTGTTAAAGAGCCTTGTAATATTAATTAAACACTGTGATCCAGATATTTTAATTGGCTGGGAGATTGAATCTTTGTCATGGGGGTATATTTTTCACAGAGCCTCTCGCATCGGTCTGAATAATTTTACATGGCAGATTTCAAGAATCTCAAATGTCGTATCAACATCGAAAGAGCAAACGTCCGATAAAGATAATTTCGTCGATGCGAAAGTACCGGGTCGAATTATTCTCGACGTTTGGAGAATAATGCGGCACGAAGTAACATTGTTAAATTACACGTTTGAAAATGTTATGTACAATGTGATGCGCGAACGAATTTCATGTCCTACTTTCGAAGTTTTAAGCGCCTGGTCGAAGCATAATAATATAACGATGCAATGGAGAGTTATTAATCATTATGTGATAAGAGTTGTGGGTACACTGAGGATATTGATCCATCTGGATGTCATCGGTTCGTATAAGTCACTATCATCGATTTATGCACGTTACTTTTTTTATATGATGCTTTAATAACTATAGGTCGAACGTGTGAGCATGCACGACTTTTTGGAATACAATTTTACGAAGTATTTTCAAGAGGGTCTCAGTTTCGAGTCGAGTCGATGATGCTGAGACTCGCAAAGCCTTTGAATTACATTCCTGTTTCACCGTCTATACAACAAAGAGCAAGAATGCGTGCACCAGAATCTCTCCCACTCATTATGGAACCCCAGTCTGTGTTCTACAACGATCCATTAATTGTTCTCGATTTTCAAAGTCTATATCCAAGCATTATCATTGCTTATAACTATTGTTTCTCCACGTGTTTAGGTCGCGTGGAGCATATTGGCCAGTAAGTGTAGAATGAATCTTTTTACATACTCCTGACAAACACAAAATGTATAATATGATATATATTTTATCTTAGTTATGAACCATACGATTTCGGTGCAACTACATTAAAAATAAGGAAAAATACTGCACAAAAATTATTGGAAAAAATAAATTTCGCTCCTTGTGGCGTAGCTTTCGTGAAACCAGACGTACGAATGGGTATATTGCCACGAATGCTTTCGGAGATATTGAATACTCGATTAATGGTGAAAGCGTCTATGAAAATTCATGGAAATGCAAATCACGTGTTGCAACGTGTTCTTCATTCGCAACAACTGGGCCTTAAGTTAATCGCAAATGTTACTTACGGCTATACAGCTGCAAATTTTAGTGGAAGGATGCCTTGCATCGAAGTACGTGTTTGTACGCGACTTCTTCCACGAATTATTTTAGAAAATTGATTATGATTACTTTTAAGGTAGGAGATAGCGTCGTCAGTAAAGGAAGAGAGACGTTGGAACGGGCTATAAAAATAGTAGAGTCTACACCTAAATGGGGAGCTGAAGTTGTTTACGGCGATACAGATTCGTTATTTATTCTTTTACGTGGAAAATCAAGGAAAGATGCATTTACAATAGGAGCTGAAATTGCTGACACTGTTACTGCAGCTAATCCCCCACCCGTAAAACTTAAATTTGAAAAAGTGTTACAACCATCAATATTACAAGTATCTAATTATGTATTAATATTTAACAAATTGATAAATTTGGCATGCTCTAAAATATTTCCTTTATTTTAGACTAAGAAAAGATATTGCGGTTACATGTATGAGTCTCCAGAACAAGAAGAGCCAGAATATCTGGCAAAAGGCATTGAAACTGTACGAAGAGATGGTTGTCCAGCTGCAGCTAAAGTTAGTAAATCAATAACATTGTTCGTAAAGCGTCGGAAATATCACATGATCATCTCTGATTTCAGATACTTGAAAAAACATTGAAAATCTTGTTCGACACAAAAGATCTTTCGTTTGTAAAATTGTACGTCACCAGGCAGTTCGATAAAATTTTACGTCAAAAAATATCCATTCAGGACTTAACTTTCGCGAAAGAGTTCCGCGGTTTACGCGGCTACAAACCCAACGCCTGCGTACCCGCTTTAGAATTAACTAAGAGACTGATGCGAAAAGATCCCCGAGCGATACCTCGCACCGGTGAACGAGTACGTTACGTTATAATCGCCGGAGCTCCTAATCAAGCATTAATTCATTGCGTCCGAACTCCGATGGAAGTAATTTCGGACGAAGGCTTGAGCCCGAATTCGATATACTATATTACAAAAGTAATTATACCGCCTCTCAATCGGTGTTTAAATTTAATTGGCGTTGACGCTAATACTTGGTACGAGAAGCTATATATTTATTATGTTATAGTTAGACTGCAGATTGTTATTTACAATGAAAAGTGTATAATTAAAAATTGTAATCCTTTTCTTTAGGTACAGAGACATGACTCGTCGTCAAACACCTGATAAAGTAGTCAATTTGTGTAAAGACAATCAAAAGTTAACCATCCGGCAATTCTTCAGTACCGTTGTGTGCGCTGTTTGCGGTGATCAAACGCAGAAAGATATTTGTAACAATTGTGTGGCAAAGCCAAGTCAAACGATTACTATTTTACAAGAAAAGATGAGATGGTTGAAACGTACTCACCAAGAACTTACTATGGTATATATGAATTTTCTATTAATTTCTTTTTTTTACGTATATGTGGCGAGAATGCAAATTGTGTTTCAGATATGCCAATCTTGCACTGGGTATACGGATGAACCGAAATGCGAATCGTTAGATTGCCCAGTTTTATATCGCTTAATGCAGGCCAGGCGAGATCTAGTTCAAATACCTTATTTAAATGATATTATTTGCAACGGCGATTCTTGTATAGAAAGAAGAACTATGGGACAGCTATTTTAATCTAGTTGCATGCAAGAACCGATCAGTATTGTTTAATAAGATGTTTATTTTTTTACTTGTTGTATAATAATTTGTATATGTAATGTAATGAACAATAAAAACCGTTCGACGTTTATTCAAATTGTATTTATAAATAAAGAAAAAATGACTGAGTCAGCAGATAGATAGCGCTGCTGTGTACGAATCGTACATATGTACGTTTGTATTTGATTGTATTTGATCATTTGATGCAGCCTGCAGGTATGATGGAAATGGTTGAGAATTTCTTGTAATGACGAGTGATGTATGGTGTATTTTGCTCACTGATTCTCATAATTAAAGTAAATTTCACTTGCCGATGTATAGATACGCAAGCTACACGAATATTCGAGTATTTGTCTTTACATTCCTATGCGAATGTCTGTCGAAAATTCGAAGTATCGCATCCCATGGATGGAAGTATCTCCCGCGCACTAGTATTTTGAAAATCATGTACTTTCTGATAGAAAATATATGTAATCAATTGAAAGTGTAAATTATTCTCCTGCATATTTGTTGTTTGTGTCGTATAGAAGAAGAAAACATACCTCGAGTCATCTGGAATGGATATCTTATACTATTTCAATGACAGTTTTGAGTGTACAATTATGAAAGTATTCTTGAATGTTTATTTATAAAAAACAGTTTACTCAATACTTTCTGAATGTATGTATTTAATGTGTTTATATATATACCTTGGAAGTTGCAGTGTTACAGAAGAAATTTAGTATTTTGTATGATTATATTAATTTTCTTTATTGTACGTGTAAAACAATGTAATTATGTTTAATATTGCTGTTTGTTGGTTTTAGCAAGTACCATGTCAGAGGCTAGCAGAGCCGTTACACCTAAGGCTTGTTGTTTTTGTGGACTGACAGAGGATAATGAATTAGACTATGGGAAATTTCATGAAAATGGTGACATTACTACGCACTATTATTGTTTGGTATGATTCATATATATATTATTCTATTATTTTAATAGTTTCGTAATATTCTAATATATATCGTCTTACAGCTCCTATCGTCCAATATGCACCAAAGAGGAAACGATAATGATGGTATTTTAGGATTTCTAGTGGCAGATATACGTATGGAACTTCGTAGAGGAAAAAGACTGGTATGTGATCATGCAGAAAGACAAAGAAGTACAGGGTGTTCGATAAGTGGTGGTACAAGCGAAAAAGGGGTGATTCTACATGAAGAAATAAATCGAAAATATAGATTAAAATTTTTTAATGTTAGTCGTTGTTTTCAAGAAAATCGATTTTGAACTTTCGCTGGTTACTCGTGCGCTTGATCATGTCTCGTTATAACGGATCTCACTGTAAATCATTCTCTCAGTTGAAGTTTATGTTGATAAACACTTCCAGTGTCAGGGAAATGTTTGTCTTACTTATCATCTTATCACCTTTTCGCTTATACCACCAGGTCCTGTATATTCAAATACATATTAATTTCATTTAAAGGCATGTACGTACTGTAAGAAATTTGGTGCTACCTTGGGATGTTGCAATTTGAAGTGTAAGAGAGTCTTTCACTATCCTTGTGGACTAAGGGCTGGATCCCTGAATCAGTTCTTTGGTGAATTTAGGTATATTGTATTTAACGTTGATTTCATAAGTCATTTTACAGACAAAAAATACACTTCTGTTTTTCAGGACATTTTGTTCGAGGCACAGATTAAAACAGAAAATAGACAAACAGGTATTACAGGAGTTAATTAACAATAATAAAGCAAATTGTTGTATATGTTATGAGCACGTGGATCCCTATGATAAAATTGATACATTATGGGCGCCTTGTTGTAAAAAGAACGCTTGGTTTCATAGGAAATGCGTTCAACAGCTTGCACTGAGCGCTGGATATTTTTTTAAGTGCCCTCTGTGTAATGATAAAAAGCTATTTCAACAGGCAATGTTAAATTGTGGTATTTTTATTCCAAGCCAGTAAGTAGAAAATAAATTATATCCTGTGATCTAGTTACGGTGAAGAAAACGAATAATTTTCTTATTCTTCTCTCAGAGATGCTTCATGGGAACTCGTCCCGAATGCATTTGAAGAACTCCTGTATAGGCATGATCAGTGTGATGCTCCAACATGTATTTGTCCAAAGGGTAGAAAGCATACAAGTTTGAACGCGTGAGTTAAATATTTTCATTCAAGTCTTTGTTCACTATTTTTGATATTTCGATTATTCTTAAACAGAAAATGGGAGTTAGCTCTTTGTCGAACTTGTGGTTCACAAGGAGTTCACATGGCTTGTGCACAGCTTAAATGGGGCAATCCAGTCTGGGAATGTGACGAATGTAAATCCATATTAGGTAAAGAATTTAAATATTGTGCGACTAAAAATTCTTCAAGATGAATCTTATATTACGTTACTTTATATTTTCATATAGGTAAATTTAATGGAAGTAGCAGTAGTGCAACGACGAGCGGAGAGAATAGGAGATTAATGAGCGGACAGACCATAGTAATGCTGTACGCGTGCTGTTCATATTGCTAAGTTTACTTCTATTATAGATTAGGGTAATATTACCTATTGTATGTTCAGGAATGATTCAGATTCGGAAAGCGACATTTCTGTTGGGAACGAGTCTCCTACGCAGTCTTCAATACCTTCAATCCTGCCTTCCTTACCACAAACGGTGAGTTTCAAGGAGCGGCCGGGACCTCGGACGTATAAATTAAGGCAACGACTCGAAGCAAAGAGAAGACTGCAACAGTTAGTATTCAAAAAGTACAAGGCGTTTGAATATTGAATTTAAATGTGTTTAATTTATGTATATTATGATTTTGAAACTGTGCAGAGCACGACTTGCAAGTCGTACAGCATTTTCTGTAGATGGAAGTGAACCTGGAAGTAGTAAAACGTTTTCAGTAGCGAAGTCAAGTTCACCGTTACAAAGCCAAGTTGATGCTGTTAGTACAGATGATGATAGTGACATTATTGAGGTACATGTTTCTATATCATGTACATCAAATGGTAGCAATTATAAAAATAATATACTTGTCACAGGTTCCTAAGTGCAGTTCATTCGTTAATACATCAATGACTTTGAAGGACAGGACACTTATGACGGACAGCAATTTATCTTTACCTAGTATAGTTGAACTTACTGAGAGCAGTATGTCGAATGATTCATCGATCGATGCATTAAAAATTGAGACTGTCGACTTAGGGGAACTGAGTTCACAGGAGGTACTAAGTGATAACGATTCATTAGTGCCGATGCCAAATATTAAAATTACGAATATAATTTCATTGGCACCTGATGAGTTTGAAAAGACAACAACCTTTGAACAAGAATTGCAAGAAAATGATGCCAACACATCATCACAATTAATTACTACCCCACTAATGCAATGTACTACCCCAATAATGTCACCGTCCCAAGATGATTGCACAGAATCAAATACCAAAAGAAAACTTAATGATACTACGTCCAGAACGACTACGACGCAACAAGCAATTGGATGTACAAACGAGTTTAAGAAAATGAAATTAAATACAACCAACACTATCGTATTGAAAGAAATAGAATATGTACCTGTGTATGTACCTCTGAATACAATTGAATACGCATCAGATGAAAATGATTTACAATCGAATTCGGGCATTAATCTGAATGCATCGAATGAGATATTAATTAATAAGACTGATACACTGCCTTATAATAATTCTGAAAATGTGAGTACAATAATCTTCACATTTTATTTATCACATTTCTATTATATCGAATAGATAAAAGGAAATAAAATCCTTAAATTGTATTCCTTCTATTTTTGCACGAACAATTGTTTCGAAGTACTAGTTTTGCACATTACAATTTATGGATTAATTTGTATATGAAGTATAGATATGGGGATTGTGTATGCTAATATATATTTCCCCGTACCTCTTCTTCACCAATATTGCTTACAATTCTAACAGTGTGACGGGGATGCAGGCACAAGTCCTGCTAGTGGAACAGGAAACAGACGCAATGTGGATCACAGAAGAAATAATCGTAACAAACGAACAGCTAGGAAGGGTTTCAGAATGTCAAGTTCAAAAAGAAACAGACATCAATGGAAATGTGAAAACGATACGAACGTGTAAGTATATTCTGAATTACGTCAAATACAAGTATGTAAATGAAATTTTATGTTTGTATATTGCTATGTGGATAAAATGTTCGGTAAGTTATCTGATTTAATTTGTATGTGAAGAAATTATTATATGCACATTGTATGACTTATAGGGTCATTGGAAAACGTAGGAGAGTACGCGATAAATACGAATGTTGGCGACGAGAATGTCGAAGCGAAGATTGTGATCACTCTCGATTAATGCCAGACTACATACGTTTACGTGATCTTAAATTTCGCATACAGGATACGAATAATTTACAGGTAAATTTATCGTGTCCTTTATTAATATTTGCTTGATTGAGTCATACAATATTAATATACAAAATGATTTTTCACATTCAGATGATTTTATTTAATGAGTTTTTGGTAAATATTAAGATGAATCATCCAGCGACTACGTCCAATAACTCAATAAAAAACAATGAACAAAATAAAATAAAGGATGAAACTCTTCCGTCGGGAAATATCTTACAAGATGTTTCGCCTTGCCATAAAGATAATACTAAAACTGTGATTATCAATGAAGATTATCAAGATGATACGAAGGAAAATATGGATCCAATAACAATTCCTTATAAAAATGTAGCGGACACGAATTTATTAAAGAATGCTACATTAATTACAAATAACGTTACTGTCATTAACAGTCAAAGTGAGAACGAAAATTTGAAGCAGTCTGCATCTAGTTTAATTAATGATGATGAAGATCACACTAATGAAAATAGTTTAGTTGACACTACAGAAAACGGTGTGAAAGGCTTGAGTAATAAATGTACTAAAATTCATTTTTTGCCAAGATCAGTTCGGCGTACATTGTTTCAAGAGACTCCTGCAAAGGAGAAGTCCAAAAATAAAATTGATGTGAAAGTAAGCATTGATTTACAAAAGATACAACCTTTTGTGGATAGTAATCCAGATTTGTTCTCAAAACGTAGAAAAGAGGCTAATGAACAGACTAATGAGCAAGGCGGCTTTTTGAAAGAACGAAATAATATTAAACAGTTTGCTCATTCATCAGGCCATAATTCAGTCGCGGATAAATCAAACCGTTTTGGAAGTTTTACTTTACGCTTGCCGAAATATAAAACAATAGAAACTGAAACCGTGAAAAGTATTGAGGAGAGTACAGTACGTACCACGAGACGTACTAGTAATTCCTCCAAGAGTTAAAAAAGATAAGAATTACTATAAAAATAATAGACTCTTAGATAGACGTTTTTATATAAATATGTACATAGAGCATGACTGTATTTTATAACGGAAAAATACTCGTAAACGAATATGTACATTTGAAAGCTTTAGCAATTTTATAAAAAAAAGGAATAGAATTTCAATGACAAGTAAGGAATGTGTTAGTTGAAAATGTAATGTAAAATAAAATAATATGAACTTTTTTTAAACTTTTAATTTACAGTATATAAGTACTTTAAATATAAATTTTTTTTATTTTGTTACATTTCTTATGTTAGGCTTTAGACAAAACGATTGTTGAATATTAATAAATAAGGTCGAAATGTTACTAATAACTACGACCGAAAAGTGTATAAAATCTTGGTTTGTTCTTACACTTGGGATGGATACACTTTTGCTTATCGAGAGGTATTGATGAGGATGGTTGCTCAAATGGTATGCAAAGACTTTTTGCTCCCATCGATAGTGTTCCAGGTTCCTCTCCTGTATCCTCACTAGAAGAATAAAAGCATTCATCTTACGTTGTTCAGAAACGTTTTAACAATACTTACCGCGCGCTGTCAGCTTTAATGTTATCTTCACAAGACGATTCTCCACAAAAAGGTGACAATAATAAATTCTTTTGGTTGAGATAAGAACAAAATTTGTCCCAATTGTCTGCACGCTTGATATGCTCGTTCAGGCTTTTCCTTGCTCTGTGTAAAAACATTGTTTGCATGAATAAGTCGAGTACCTATGTGCAATATTATATAAAAACTGTCTATCAGGACTTACTTGCTAAGCATGCTTTCGTGTATGTCAGCTAATAACTTGTGTAGAGCAGTGACTACGTCAAATCTCTTCGCGAGTATTCTTTCAGAATTGTCTCTGCGTACGAATGTGACCTGATTCTTTTCCAAATCTTTTGGGCCTAATTCAACTCTTACAGGGACACCCTTTAGTTCCCAGTGATTGAACTTCCAACCTGGTGTGCGGTTACTACGATAATCCGCTTTAACTCGAAGCGTTTTATCTTTCGACAATTCGTCTAACAATTTATTACACTCAGAGAACAATACTTCTCTTTGTTGCGGTGTCGTGCTTGCTGTAATACCGCATGGCACTATGATAGCTTGAACGCTGGCTACATTCGGTGGTAAAACCAAGCCTTTATCATCTCCGTGAACCTACAAACCAAATTATTTCAATAAGAATTAATCATATATTCAAGATTAGGAATAAGTACCATTATCATAACTCCGATTGTGCGAGTTGTTAAGCCCCAAGAATTCTGATAAACAAATGTTTTCTCGTCCCCTTCAGCGACACCTTCTATCTGAATGTTAAACATCTTAGAGAAATTTTGTCCCAGATGATGACTCGTCGCTCCTTGTATCGCACGGCCGCTCGTTGAAATAAAAGCTTCAACCGTGGTAGTGTAATCACCGCCAGCGAACTTTTCTTTCTCGGTTTTACGGCCTTTAACGACGGGAACCGCCATCAAATCTTCGTATACTCTAGCATACAGGTCTAAAATTTTCATAACTTCTTCATCAGCTTCAGCTTTAGTAGCAAAAGCAGTGTGACCTTCTTGCCACAAGAATTCTCTCGTACGCAAGAAGGGTTTGGGATCTTTAAACTCCCATCTCTGTAATCAAGATCTAAGTATAACATTCACGGAACAGTTTTGTGTGTGTATAATAATTAACTATTATACTTACAACAACGTTGTTCCACTGATTAAGTTTTAACGGAAGCTCGGTATCAGATCTTAACCATTTAGCATAAGCTGGGTACATTACAGTTTCTGATGTCGGTCGTATAGCAATCGGTTCAGCTAAATCTGAGTTTCCACATTTCGTTACCCATGCGACTTCAGGTGCAAAATCTGCTACGTGTGCTTTCTCTTTCTCCAGCACTGCCTGCGTGACAAAAATAGGGAAGTAACATTCCTGAACGCCCATCTGCGTTATTTCTTTATCGATGTAGTCCTTTATTATCTTCCAAACGGCGAAACTCCATGGACGGAGAACATAGCAGCCTGATACATCGTAATATTCGATCATACCACCCTTAGTAATTATTTGAGAATACCATTCGAAAAAGTTTTCTTCCTTCTTCGCTTCCAAACCCAGTCTTGTGCCAGTTTTAGCAGCATCTACGTCTTTCACACCTTCGTTTTTACTTACTTCTTTATTAGATGTACTCTTTTGTTTTTCGGTTTTTGGAGTATCTTCCTTCTTCTTCTTTTTGGATGATGTATCAGGCTTTGATGATTTCCATTCTTGACCAGTTGACGTTTTATATTTACCTTTCAAATCTAAAAGAATCTTTACTTCATGATCGATAATGCTTTTATCTGCTTTACTCTCTTTTAATTGCCTCACTTTATCTGCCTGCTTCTGTATGCTCTCCGAAAATTGATCGAATGATTCAGCTTTATTTGTTACATTACTTCCTTGGCTAGCAGATGGTTTCCATTCTTCCCCAGTTGCAGTTTTGTAATCGGCTTTTAATTTTAGAAGCAATTTTACTTCTTGATCGATGACACTTTTCTCCGCTTTCGAGCTCTTTAATTGTCTGACTTTATCTCCTTGTTTCTGGATTTCTTCGGATATCTTTTCATGATTATTTGTTGCATTACTGGCCGAGTTCGGCACAGGCGGTGGTTTCCAATCTTGACCTGTAGCAGATTTATATTCTGACTTTAAAGCTAAAAGTTTCTTCACTCCATCGTCAATTACAATTTTCTCTGCTTTCGAACTCTTTAATTGTCTCACTTTATCTCCTTGTTTCTGGATTTCTTCGGATATCATTTCATGATCTCTTACTATACTAGTGGCCGCGCTTGGTGTATTAGATGGATTCCAATCATGACCAGTAGCAGATTTGTATTCTGATTTTAAAGCTAAAAGTTTCTTCACTTCTTCATCGATAACACTTTTCTCAGCTTTCGCACTTTTTAATTGTCTTACTTTATCTCCTTGATTTTGAATTTCGTTAAACAATTTCTCAATTCCCAATTCTGAAGATGCATCATTTTGCGTTACATTTTGAAGTTCTACTGTATCCCAGGCTGTGCCAGTCTTATTTTTATATTCTGACTTTAAATTTGAAAGTCGTTGCATTTCCTGATTTATCTTCGATTGCAGTTCTTTAATTTTGTTTTCTTGTTCTGTAATATCTTTTGATAATTTATCTTCTTTCACCACTGCTTGTGATGATTTATTCGTGACTGTACTCGGTTTCCAATCTGTACCGGTGATTGCTTTGTATTTAGCTTTTAAATCCAGAAGAGTCTTTACTTCTGCATCGATCGCAGTTTTATTTGCCTTCTGAGCTTTCAATGAACGCACTTTCTCCCCTTGTGCAATAATTTTTTCATTAATTGAGTTTGCATCTTCCTTTGCATTCTAAAATAATAAGAAGGAATATATAATTATATAAGTGTGAACAGAAATGTAATAATGCGAAAATGAAGCGAATAATGCGCATACATTTTCATGCGAAACTTGTTTAACAGTTGATGTAATGCTAACAGATACAGGCTTTGTCATATGACCATCTGGAATATGAAACAGAATTAAAGGCTGTTCCCTAGAAGAAAGCGGGCTAACAGGAGCATAAGGTACATCGCATCGGAAAAATCCTTTTCTTTGCAACTGAATTATCTCTCCTCTTTGGACACGTTTCAATTCTACTTCTCCAAGCATTGGTACTTCCACCTAGAATACTTTACACGATTACACACGCGTTTCATTTTTCATTGTACATTCATTAGAAAATGAAATCTTACTCTAGTATTCTTCGCAATGAAGTTTTTGTAATCATCATCCTTTGCCAATACCGGTTTGCTTATAATGTGATCGAAGTAAACGGCATAACATGGGATCGAATTAGTTTTATCTACATTGTTTTTACCAGAAGATATCGCTAACCACGTGATTTTTAATTTGTTCTTGTAATCCTTATTATCCAAATCCAATTTTGCCGTTATTCTCTTAGTACTACCATTTTCTTTTTCAATTTTCGTTATCAATATGTTACCCCAATTGATGAAAACAGCATTTTCTCCTTCCACTAACATATCTGCATCGTCCTTTTCTATGTATACTTGCGAGCTGACTAAAACTTGTTTAGTGCCTTTTGAGAGATCTTTTGGATGATTTTGAACGGTTAACCATTCTTCTTTTGCACCATCTATATGCACAGGAACAACCTTGTCATGGTCCAAAGCAGTATATCTAAAAATGTGTTATCAATATTACTTGCATGAATATCATTAACAAAAAGAAATTGTATGAATTATGATGTGCACCTAGTAGCGATCGGATCAATAACTTTCTTGTTAAATGACCATATCTTATCCCATTCCATAAAAACGACAGATCTCGAGCTACCTTGAGCAATAATAAATTGCTTCAGTCCCTCGACTGTCATTCCTCTTCTCAAAATACCCCGCACTGTAGGAAATCGGGGATCATCCCAACCATCTACTAAGCCTTGATCGACGAACCAAGTTAACTTTCGTTTTGACAAAACGGTGTTAGTCATGTTCAGACGGGAATATTCCCATATATATGGACGTCTTAATCCTAGTGCATCGATTATCCAATAAAATTGGGCATCTCTGTCGTGATATTCCGTGGTACGTAAAGTATGGGTGACATTCTCAATAGCATCAACAATAGGACAAGCGAAATCATATGTTGGATAGACTTTGTACTTCCTCCCAGTTCGTGGGTGAGGTTCCGGCTTACATCTATATATTGTTGGATCTCGTAGACAACCATTTGCCGATTGATAATCAATTTTCGCTCTAACACAACATTCTTGACCCTGTTGCATCTCGTTCCATAAATGAAGGTTTTTCTCAATCGCTAAAAAGTATTTAAAAATTTTAAAAACAGATTGTAAGATTATGAATCTATACTTACAATTATTTCTATTCGCCGACATCTCTTTCTTATCGCGTTGTTCTTTCATTACATCGGCTGGTGTATCATCTACATATGCGTTGCCGTCTTTTATAAGTTTAGTACAGTATTCCAACATCAAATCAAAATAATCGGAAGTATGTGTAAATCGGTCTGGTTTGATTTGAAGCAATTCCAAATCTTCCAAGATGGCTTTCTCGAATTGTACGTTCTCTTTTGCAGGATTTGTATCATCAAATCGCATAATCAGTTGTCCTTGAAATGTGTCTGCATAATACTGATTCAGTAAGGCTGCCTTGGCATGGCCGATATGTAGATATCCGCTTGCCTCTGGTGGAAATCGTACTACAACCTATCGTAATAAGAACATTATAAAATATGTTTCACAAAAAGGGTGATACTATTATTAGACAAGGTGGATAGCTCACCTTACCCATTTCTGCTCCAGGTAGCTCAATAAATTTACCTTCTTGCTTTCTTGGCCCTGTTTGCTTGTTAACAATTTTTTCAGGCTGCACATTATTACAAGAAGATAATTTGGCGTTCTTTTTAATCGAAAGTAACGCCTCTGCAACAGCAGGCAGTGACATTATTTGCTTATACCATCTACTTATATTAACAAATTGCTTTCCAAACTTCGGCAGGAACTCTTTATCCAGAAGAGCACTGAACACATGGATGTCAGCTATTGTCAACTTCTTGGAAACCAACCAAGTAGTTGTCATTAATGTGCGATCCAAATAATGCAATGCATCTTCTTTTAAAGATCGGGATGCCAAAGGTCCAATTATGAATGATAACCAGTGATCAACTTCAGTTTTTTCCAGAGGGGTGTTACCACCTAGATTAATTATATGCAAGAAATAAGAGATACAATAAGTTTTACATACAATTCAGAAAGAAACTGATCCTTAGACTCACCATAAAGGTCTGTATAAGAAGTTCTAGCAAAGTAACGACTAACATCACTGCTTCTTTCTCCCAACACTTTATGTATGTCATCAGTTAGTCTTACATTTCCATGACCTTCCCAATCATTGCACCAAATTACTTCGATCTTCTCTTTCTTTTCAGATTTAATTATTTCTGCTACTATCAAGGCATCTGTGTAAAATGTTTTATTAATATTAAGAAAACTTTCGTCTCATATTTATTTATATATTCAATAAAAATTACCTGCCGGAGGATTTTTAGAATCAACTATGAGCTTATAAGTCATTTTTATATGTCAAATGCAACTTATGGAGAAATTACATTCGCTCAGGTTAGAACCTCTGTTCCACGTGCGCAAATGGTGCTGCCCGTGCTCGTAAGTGCATGTGTGTGTAATACAACTGCCCAAGAAAGAACGATTCTCGGCCCACTTGGCATGTACACATGCAAAAATCAAGTTTTCATTATATTCCCACGAGCAATTATCACAAATATTCTGTTGTTCTGTGCGCTGGAGTGACTTCTATAGGGAAGAGATAGAAAAGTGATTTGCTTGCTACACAGCGGACTTATTAGATGCATACCCTTCCATAAATACATGATGCAAACTTATTAATCATTACAAAACAAAATAGATATAAATAATCATCAAGCAGCTACTTTATTTCAGAAATATGTTTTAGGAATATTTCAATCTTCAAGGAAATAAAGAATATATGTTTTCTGGGTTTAAAAAGAGATACTAAAAAGATGGATGTATCTAATATATTGTTTTTAATACAATATAACATACATACTGTCTCGTATATAATCATCAATAACAAAAAATCATCAAAATTTTCACATTCACAGTCGCAAACATACAGGGAATCTTATGCTTATAATCGGTTGTAATAAATAGCAATTCTAGAAAAGCAGTAACAATTCGTGATATGATTGAAGCTACCATTCACAATGTAATTCCAAATACATTCAATGACGTAAGAATTGCTGTTCCTTAATTTGTGTTCCTCTAGGAATAAAGCAATGTTTGACTTTTTTTATGTCTTCGAAACTTTTAAAAATTGAGAAAACATATATGATACATTATAGAAGATTATTCCCCTGTTTTACAGAATTGCTATTATGCTTATATGAACTTGTCTAGACATGTGTATCAATGTGTATCCATACCTAGTTGCGTGTATAAAAAAGATACACCAATTTATAGTTTAAGAGCTAAGACTGCAAGTATAATAACCCTGTTAGAAAAATGTACGCAGATTGGCATATTCTTTATAGAGCAGATCTCAGTCATTCTGATTAAAGAATTTAATGAACAGATAATGGTTAAAATCTAACTAACAATATGAATATAAAATTTAAAAACTAAATGCTTATGAAATAAATTATTCGCACTCTTTTTTTGGTGAAACTGACTTGACGTCTGGCAATTTAGCAGTTACAGTTGCTAACAGCTCCGAAGATATATTCACAGGTGTCATGTTAGTTGTTCCAAGTTCTTCAGAATTAACATCGGAACTAACCATATAAACTTGTAAGACACTTTCCCCAGGTTCTTCCAGAGATTCCTTCGATAAAATGACTAACGATCCAGGCTCCACTTCACCAATGTTCGGTATAACTGATTTAAGAGAAGCAGGATGTTCAGTTTCTGTATCTACATTGGAATCATTAAAAGCTATAGTTTCTGGAGCATTTGTATCATCTTCTGATGGACTAACAATTTCCTTATGCTCTTCGTTATCAGGATCACGGACACGACGAGTTTCATTATCGAGAGTATTTATGTCTGGTCCCTGCAATTTTTTCATTTTTGGTATTCTTCCAGATCTTGTCGGTCTCACACGATAAACTTCCGTATCGCTATCGCCATCATTCCAGGAACTTAATGATATTGAATCATCTGTCTCTGATATTGATAACTGTTCCTCCTCTCTTGATCGTTTATCAGCTTTCTTATTTGCAATACTTGCACTTAATGTTTGATCACAATCACTGTTTGTTTCTCTCTTCTCATCCAATATTTTACCCGAATCACGTCCCACTTCCTCATCGGACTCGTCCATTTCTTCAATAGTAGCGGCTACAAGTCCTAAAAAGAAAGTAGTATTACGTGATAACCTAGGAAAAGTTCAAACTTAATATTGCCTGTTGAAATAATAATTATAAGCAAGTATTCTTCGACTCACTGGATTTACGTCTTTGACGAAGATTTTTTCTCTTCCTCTCTTTCGGTACTTGCTGTTTCGGTTTCTTTTCTGTCGACTGTACTTTCTCTAAATTTTCGAACTTCGCTGTAAACATAGAATCAGATATTAACTAAGGTAAATAAGATATCTGATCTTAAACTGGATTGTATTTTCTATATCCTTTATAAAATGCTTGTCTGAAATATAATATATTCATATTTGTCTTAAAAGGAAACTCGTGATCTTACCTAGTGATTTTTCCAACGTTTCAATATCAAATTCTTGATGGTACGCCAGTGCCTTTTCAACTAAATTTCTATTTACTTTTTCTTCTTTTTTAAATTTCAACTTAATTTCCTGCCTCGTTCTATTTGGAAAGAGACTTTGCATCAACAAAAAATCAGTACCAACTGTGTTTAATGCTTTATAAAATTTTAACGTTTCCCATTTCGACCACTCTTTACTCTTTTTGCGCCTTTTGTAAAATCCGTTCCCGTTGTCATCGTCAATTATAACTTCTTTCGCTAATACTTCTCTACTTTTCTTTGCATTGGTTTGTTCTATAACAAGACTCTGTTCATCTATTATTAATTGACCATTTGGTCCAACTTTTACTTGAGGTACCGGCATCGCAGACGACGGGTCATCCTCGGCTTCTTCCTCTTGAATTTCCTCGGGTCTGAAATATTGATTTCATTACATGTTACCTGTATGTAAGTAAATTTTCAATCATACGCATATTATAATAAAGAGACCTTGAAAACAGTAAAAAGAGAAATTACATTCTTTACTGTACGCGAATGTATTGCATTTAAATACAATTAAGTCAATGAATATGTTTTTAGTTGAATACTTACGGACACTCCAGCAGTCTCTTTGTTGTCAAACCAGATTCCTTCGATTTTTTCATAGGATTAGTAACAGGATTATAATATATCAAGTCATACATTGTAAGTTTACTTCTGTCCGGAGTTTTGTTTTCATTTCTCAGATGAAATTCTCTTCTAGCTTCTGCTAGTTTTCTTGCAGACTCCGAAATTAAAATGCGCCTCTTTTGTCCTACGTTTGTCGTTACACTATTTTTAGTGCTATTAGTATTAACAGTAACATCTTTCATATTTTTTGTCGACTGGTTTGCATTATTGATGGAAATAGAATTAGTAACTTTTCTATTATCATCTTCGGACTCGCTTGCACTTGCCCCACTCCCTTGCGTACTGTTCCTTCTTATTCTACCTCCGCTATCAAATTTTGGTGTTGGTTTCACAAAACTGCTACGGTTTTGCGTCAGCTTTATAGGAGACCCTGAAAAATTACATAATATTTAGTAATCACTTTAATGCTCTCATAAATTTTGAATAACAGATATACAAGTAGGATAGAATTGCACATATAAAATTAAACATTACAAATATCTATACTTACCAGTTAGAATCTTGTTTACAGTCTCTGGAATTTGGGCAGTAGTCTTTTTAAAATCTTCTGAACTTTGAATGGCCTTCGCTTTACATTCATTACTTTCTTGATTGATGTGCACTTCCTCATTTTGTGCCTGTTCTTCTATCTCTACATCTTTTTGTGTTTCTTTTCCTTGAGAACTATCTTCTGGATCTTTTTGTAATGTTGCACAAACAGTATCAGATACATTTTTTCTGTTTTCATTATTATGTTGAACTGGAGTTGTATTTTCAGCAACAGATACATCTTGTGCCACTTTCCTTCGAGTTGGTACTGTAACCATGGCTTTTATGCGTGCTCTCTTCATGATTAAATATATTAGTTTATTGAACCTACAAATATAATACAGTATTAATTGGCATAATATTGAACATCCACGTAATATCTAAACCAAAGAATAAAATGATTGTAAATGTTTTTATTTGTGATAAATTTATGAGCTTAATAACTTCAGTAACGTTTAGTCAATTCATTCTGGTGCATTAGTGTAATGCAAATTTAATAGCAATCTGTACATTGTATATAAAATTGTATACATAATTGTGGAACAGATACAATGATAAACTTAATTATGTCAGAATTATTGACTTACCAGTATTCTTATAATTTATAATAAACATGTAATAGTAAACTAGTTTATTAAATCACAAAGAAATTGTAATGACATATGCAAATACTTGCACACATGTCGCCAGTCATATAAACAGAAACCGAAATACAACTGGTTCATCTCTTGCCTCTCTGGCGTCTGCCCCTTCTGATGCTTCAGACTGCTTCTGCCAAAAAGGCCAAAACCGCATAACCATATGAAATTTCAGACATTCTATATGTTGATGGTCAATTATCTTAAGCCGTGTTTCCACATGCAGGTTTTATATATTTGATTTGTCATTCGTAGTCGTAGTATAAAATTTTGTAAAAAAATGACCTGTTTTCATTCCTTTTTTTATACCATCTGCATCTGGTATCTTGACTGAAGTTTTCGCCTTTACTTTTATTTTCTATCTTCTTTTTAAAATTTCTCTTTTCTTTGTTTACGATGGCACACTGGTGACTGCTGACGCTGCTGACTGGACAGAGCTTTGTCGCGGTAAAGTGTGACGAAATATGTAAGGGGAATGCAGACCCTCGGGCGCATGCTCTTACCTTACTTTTATAATACTTAAGTAGATCCCCTGTCTGAAAAGCCCACCTCCAAATGCATGAAATAAAAATGCTAAGATTTTTTTCCACTCATTCATTTATTAGAACTTCCTCCTCAATGTTTAAAATATTTGTATTTTCATTGATGCAATTTATAAAGTATGATACTTTTGTACAATTACTTTTTAACTGTATGATTCTATATCCACTTATACTTAAGAAAAATGTATAATCTAAGAAAGAAGAATACTTAAAAAGAGAATAATGATACAACTTCATACTGCGGTAAAAATATAA